TTAAGGCTAACCGTAGCATGGGCACATTTTTGGGCTGTGGAAGAACTTCTGATCAGCAGCTATGTGGGATGGGGGCTGCAAGAGAGACTGATTCCCTTGCCTAGTATCATCTTCCCCCATCTCCTCCTGCTCTGCAGGGATCGATCCTCTTCCACTGCCCACCACCTTGCCCCCTGAAAAGCCCTGTCACACACACCCCAAGTAGACAATAGCCTCCTCCCTGCCCAGGGCTCCCCTCCAACACCCCCTTCCACCGGCAAGCAACAGCCCCCCTCCCCGCAGGCTCCCTTCCAACACCGCCCCCCCGGCCAGCAACAGCCCTCCCTCCCCACGTGCTCCCTTCCAACACAGCCCCCCGGCGGGTTCCTCTCCACCCCAAACCTCTCCCTCCTAGGGGCTCCTCTCCCCGCTCCTGCGCACCTGGAACTCCAGCCCATAGATCACTGGCGAGTCATCCTCCATGACGTCCCCACAGCTGCTCCCGCAGGGCCCGCCTTCAACAACCGCACGTCCCTTTCCCCCAGCCTGAGCCGGCTCCCCTGTTTCATACGTTACTCGCTAACCCAGGGGCCTTTCTGAGCCACTGCGGCATCCGTTGCTCTCCCCTTCCGGGTGATGTGACGGAAACGCAGGCGCCGTAGAGACCGTTCCCTGGTTGATGGCGCAGACGCAGTAGCTGCTGGATCCTTGGGGCGGCGGTGCAAGGCTGCTGCTGGTGCTAAGCAGGTGAGGGTCAGGGCTGTAGCGGGGATGGGGAGGCCGGGCCGGGCTGGGCTGGGCCTGGTGGAACGGAGGGGCGGGGGTCCTGGCCGGGCCCGGGGACCGCTGTAGTCAGCCTGGCGTGGGGCAGGCGGCGAGCGGGCCTGGGGTTCCCTAGCGTGGAGCTGGCCGGGCCGGAGGTGCGCCGGGGTCCCGGTTTGGAGTGAGACGGCAGCAGAGGTGTCTCCCCGATGGGCTGTCACTTGTGTTACTAGGGTCTGACTGCCACCCGCAGAGCCAAGTCTTCCCGCCCCCCCCCCCCGGGGATCTGCCTGAAAGTGAACCCCAGTGAGAGGCCTTTGAGCCAGGCCTGAGGGGCTGGGACGCCCCCTTTCCCTTCTTCTGTTAGACAGTGGCCATGTTCTTCCGCCGCACCCATCACCGCTACCCGGGAGTAGTAACGAGACTCTGTGCGGACGCCCTGCTTCGTCCCCTTCAGCCTTGTGTGCGGTACCTGCCAGGGAATTTCAAACCCACTCTCTATATCCACGGTATTAAGTGAGAGGTAGTGGGTACTGACTGGCCAGACCAAAGGTTTAGTCTGGTGTCCATAAAGACTCAGAAACACGAAATTCCGTGACAAAACTGTGAGCATACATGTATTTATTTGCCAGTGCATTATAGACCAGTGGTTCTCAACCTTTTTGAGCTCAGGACCCATTTGTCAATGTTTATGGCCTGTTGTGACGCATTAAATAACCTGGAGGTGGTTTTGTTTGGAACCTCCCCCCAGGAATGGGGGGGTTGGATCCTGCCCAGCACTCACCTCACAGTAGTGGCTCCTGGGCTGTGGCAGGGCTTGGCTCTCTGCTCTGGGCTTTGCAATCTCCAAGTTGCAGCGCAGCTCAGGTTTGGCCCTGCCCCCCTTTGCTGGACCAAATTTGAGTGAGTGGAGTTGTGACCTGGCTCATGGGGTTGCAGTGCCACTCTAAGCTTTGGTCTATCCAGACGCCTGTCATCATGATGGCTGGGCAAAAGCTGAGTGGCGCTGGGACCCCAGAGGTTGGAGTGCCTGGACTACGGAGGTGAGCCCCGCCATCCCTGTGGGACGGGAGCTGCCACGTGACCCTTTGAAATATTCTGGCAACCCAATTTTGGGTCCCGACCCGCGAGTTGAGAAACCCAGTTATAGACGACAAAGGAAGGGAATGAGCTACTCACAGAGCAGGCTGAAAGTATTTTCAGTGAGTATAACTGGTAGAAACTTTTCATTGAGATTTTAGAATAACTTTGGCCCATTCTGCAATGAGACCTATTCCTGTCTGTGCCTGTGCAAAGCACTGTTGTTTTCAGTGGGATTCTGCATGGATTCAGTACCAGGCTAGCTGTAGTTTTATATATAGAAAAATAAGACTTCACGTCATCAAAATAAAAAAAAATGTAATCATTACTTAGTCTGAGATTAGGAGCAAATAAGAAGCCTCCAAGATTAAGGAAATAAATTCATCTTAAATTCATCTCCCAGAAAAATTAGCTTCTTTCTCCAAACCTGCATAGGCTTTGAAATATGGGAAAATGTAGCCTTTTTTTTGTTTAAGTTTTTCACAATCAAAAGGTAAAATAGAGTGAATTTACTGAATTTTGCCATAAGCAGTGATGGAGAACCCCACTTGGGGGTATGCAAAAGTTTAGATGTTAAAAAGAGAGGTTTAAAAATGCCAGTTAGGTTTAAAAAAAATTGCCAGAGAATTGTAGAAATCTTCACCTTTGATATCTTTGGGGGAAAAAACCATATTTGCTTATTACAAATTTTTAGTAAAATTTTCTATATCTTTAGCTTTCCTCTGCAGAATTGCATCTTTTATCAACAAGTATTTTAGGAGATTAACTTTTCTTTGTTTTCCACATCTACGTGTGTTTCTTAAATTTAATTAATCTTTTTCTTCAGTGTGTTCCATTTTTCACTCCCATTCAGATATTTCTCTAGATAGTAAACAAGATTTTTTTCCTCGTTGGAATAAAATCAAACTTCCAAGCTTTGAATTGATGAATAAATGTACATAGTGTTATTTAGAAAATAGTTGTGAGACTAAAAGACCTGGCAGTGTTTTCAACTGGTTAAACAGTGTCGTGTCTACACCATGGTAGATAACAGGAAATGTAACAGGGATTATGTGGTGGGAGAAAACCTGCTCCTTGTAACTTCAAACCCATTCAAAGTTACAGAGGCATCAGTTACTCTAAATTTTTCTATAGAAGGCTGTCTCTTATTTTGCTGCTTAAGTTTGGGAGCCACACTGAACAGAAGAGTAGAATACATCTTCTTGAGGCATTGGGGTGGAGTCGGAGAGAAGGAATGGTACTACAGGTTCCTAGAGAATTCCTAACCAAAAAAAAAAAAACACCCTAGTCATACTGCTGGCTTTAATCAAGTTTATAATACATTTCTGGCATGCGTGCCTCTAAATATGGCTTGTGTCAATGTGCAACAAGGTTAAAATCCAGCTATAACCAGGTCAACCAAAAGTGTCATCCCCTGTCTAGGCTGACAAATGGTTGTCTTTCTGCAACCGGTATAGCACGTTCTCCACTTCCTTCCCAAAACACAGACAGGACCCCTTAGCTTGTGACTTTTAAATTGACTTGTCAGGTCCTTTTTTTCTCCCACCTCTCTTTCAGGTATGACATCCCAAAGTGCAATTGCACTCCATACAGTTGATGTTGTTCTGTATGTATGTATGTTCTCAAAGACATCTATTTCCTTGGAACAATGAGGAATTTTTGCCCAGAATGTACCAATATAAACATGGTATGATAGGCATGGATATACCAGTGCTAGTGTGATAGCAGAAAGGCTGTGATGTGGACACAAACTTAATGTATTACTACAATTGAAACCTCTTTGACAAGAATGATTGTTCTCTGCCTCAAATTTCCTATGTGTAAAGTGGGAGGTTAATATGTCCCTGCCTCACCAATGTGTTCATAAGTAAGACTGTGTGTCTGTCACGGAAGTCACAGATTCGGCTGGCTCCGGGGCTGCACGAGCAGATCAGGCAGCCTCTGGGCTGCACCGGCCGCTGCTGGGGCAGTTTGGGTGTGTGAGGGGGCTCAGGGCTGGGGCAGAGAGTTGGGGTGCAGGGTGGCGCTTACTTCGGGGGAGGGGGAGGAGGCGCGGTCTCCCTGGAAATGACAGGCATGTCCCTTCAGCTTTTTCAGGGGTTCTCACAACAAATTTTTTGGTGGTCTCAGCGTGCGGCCACCAATTCTTGCTCGTGGCCGCTCTGACAGTTTTTCCTAAAATACTTAATTAACTTTAGGAAAAACAAATAAATATGCACAGATACATGTCCAAATCATTGTAATCTATCTATGTAGGGTTTTTTGGTTTTGTTTTTTTCAGACTCAATAATAAAAATAGTGTACATTTGTCTCTGTTCTTCATTGGACCTAAACAGAATAGAAACACAAATAAGGTGCTTTGAATGTTCTTGTCATTTTTCTTATTGTTTCTTTTGGTTGGTTAGTTGGTTTGGTTACTTTTTTTAAGACTTGCTAGCTACTAAGTGTTCTGTGAAAAGTGATATTAACAAACATGTAAATCTCACTTTTCACAACAGACTTACTCAGAAATTAAGCCCTGGATGGGGAGGTAGGTACAGAGGCAGCAGGGGCCAGGGGTGATGGGGCATTGGTGGAGGCGGTAGGGGGCAGAGATGATGGGGGGGATGGGCTTGGGGCCAGAGCCCATCACCATGCAGCCAGGGAATGGAGCCTAAAACCCCATGTCCAGGGGACAGAGCCTGAAGGCTCGTGGCTGGAGCCTCCCACCCAAGGACTGTAGCCCGATCCCACTGCCCCTGGGAAGGTGGGGGAACTCACTGGCTGCCTTTCCTTCAGCTTGTGTCTCTCCAGAGGGGGGCAGGGCCCAACCACTTCTGGTGGCCCCTGGGGAGGGGCTGCTGCTTTGCGCTCCCTCCTCCCCCAATCACCGACCAGGAAGCTGTGGCTGCAAGAAAAGCCCCTGGTGGCCGCATTTGAGAAACGCTGTTCTAGGCAGATGGGCCAGGCGGCTCTGCGTGCTGCCCCTGACCATAGGCACCGCACCCGCAGCTCCCATTGGCTGCAGTTCCAGGCCAATGGGAGCTGCAGAACGGGAGCTTGTGGTCGGGGAAGTGCACGGAGCCCCCCGGCCTTCCCTCCCCCTAGGAGCTGCAGGGACATGCAGAGCCAGGTAGGGAGCCTGCTAGCCCCGCCAACCCTCCCCTCCCCCCCCAGCACCAGCAGGGGTTCCGGGGGGCCAACCCCCAGCACCCATGATGCCCCCAGACCAACCCCTCAGAGCACCCTCAGCCCAAGTTTTATTTAGGAGTATAGTACAAGTCATGGACAGGTCACGGGCAATTAACAAATATTCGTGGCCCGTGACCTGTTCATGACTTGTACTAAAAATACCTGTGACTAAAACATAACCTTATTCATAAGCATTCAACTGAGTATCAGAAGTGCTATGAAGAGGTGCTTATTATTGATTCCTTCTAGAATATAGTGTCTAATCTCATCATATTAGCTACTGAGCCATCTCATAGGAGATATTAGGTAAGTTTCCATTCTCTGAAATTTTAGAGGCAGACTCCTAGGCTTGAACGAAAGATTTCAGAAATCTTAAGATGCATAATCCTCTCTTTCTGTGGTCCCAGCACTGTTTTTATTGAATCAGTAGCAAAATGCCCACTGTCTTCAGTGGGAGCAGGATCAGGTGCTTACTGGTTTTCTCCTTTCCTCTATACCCAAACATGTTTATTATTTATTATCATTAATATTTATATTCCAGTAATGCCTAAAGGCCTCAGCTC